TACTTCGCTGGAGACCGTTTACCTCTCGTACGAGATCGGCCGATCCGCTGCTGGTAACGATGGCCTCATCTTCTCCGGTCAGACCGCCGAGCTCCTGCTCCACATGATCGAGCCCATCCAGGTCGGATACGGTGCTGTGGTAAGTAGATACCTTACTCGTCAATCCCAAGACCTAAGCTGACCGGGAGATGACAGATCCTCTCTTTCCTGGGTGCCGTCCACTGGGGTCTTGAGTGGGCCGGATACGGCGGAAAGTACGGCTACAAGCGTTATGCGGCCGGTGTTGTCGCGCCTGCCGTCGCTTGGCCGACTCTGCTCTTCCCCACTGAGTACGCTTTGATCAGCCAGTTCCTCGCTTTCACCTTCCTGTACTACAACGACGCTCGCGCCGCTGCCCACGGCCGTGCTCCCCACTGGTACGGCATGTACCGCTTCGTCCTGACCTTCATCGTCGGTGCCAGTATCGTGGCCACCCTGGTCGGCCGTGAGCAGATTGCCAACACCCTCACCTCGGAGCACAGCATCACCGACAAGATCAACGCTCTGCTCTTCCTCAAGAAGAAGGAGCAGGAGGAGCTCGAGGCCCGCCGCAAGGCCGAGGCCGAGGACTCTGAGTAAAGGAATCAACTTTAATTGAACTTCTTTTATATCAAAAACGAGACCCTCTGATCCTGTGATTGTATAAGCATGTGCATAGTTTGAATTTGAAGGAGTGGTCCGAGAGAAGAAAGCAAAGCTGCGTCGGCTCAGACCTTGCCTGCGGCAAGACCCCGTGTGACAGTAAAGCAAAAGGTGTGATCTTATATCATTGTTTCGATTTTGGAATTTTTTTTTATTTTATGTTGGGTTGAGTTTCTTGTAGATTACATGTGGAATCAACGAATCAGCGGACGCTGGAAATTTTCATTTGTTTTATTTGTTGGAACTGGTTATGCTGTAGCTGTCTGTAGTTTGTGCCACACAACGATGCAGCAAGGAGAAACTAGAAACAAAGATACTCCGAACTTCATCCCTATGAACAGCATCAGATCAGATGTGGGGTTGACAAACTGGCAAAGGACTACCTACCTAGGCAGTGCCGTAACTGTAACACAATCGTCCGTGCCCCCTCCCATCATCTCAGACTGTTGAACACTAAACCCCCCCTTCTCCATATCCAGTAGTCCGTGTCTCCCCACGGAACCCCGGAAATGTAATGAATCAGAATCCCTGACCATAAGCGACTAGCCCCTTGGCAGGCCTTCCCGAGGTGAGGTCGGATATCCAAACAGACACCGACATTGATATCGACACCAAGGCCCAGCCTTACTAGTCACCACTAAACAAAGTAACTCCGGGCCATGGCAGACCAGGATCGCGCGACCCAAGAAAGCGAATGCGGGGTTTGGACACCCCAGGCAGGACTCAAACCCTGGGGAAGGATGGAAGTGTCGGAAAGACCAGAACCAGACAGGATAGGACTGGACAGGACCATTACTGCCTACAAAGTACTCCGTACCTGCTGGTTACTAGGAACCTAGAAAGCGCCCAGGATCCAGCAACGTTGCAAGCGAGCGATTCAGGGAAAGTCAGACGAGGACAGTTAATTCCCTGTCAGGAGTCAGGACCAAATCGGGGCAATCCATCAGATATGTTACTAATATTATTTGTGCTAATGTACTGTAAGGGTGTTAAATATGTGGCTATGGATGTATGCACATGCATAAATTCGTCCAGGCCTCGTGGTGCCCAAGAGATGACCAGATAGATAATCAGCAAGCCAAGTCGACTGATAACATTAGGTACAATTACACTGCCAAACGCGCGAGTGCCACAGACAGAGGGAGAGAACACAACACAGTCCCTACTTACTTGACTGCCACGAAAAGCGCAGATCGCAGCAACAGCCCGGTAAATGACGACTGGCCGGGATGCAAACAGGTTTGGGAAGGAAGTCCCGGGAAGGTATCGGCCCGCATTCTAAACCAACCTGTGACTGGATCTCGCCGTTGGTCGTTTGAAGAGAACCTTAGGCAATAATAATAATAATAGGCTGGTAGCGTTCCCAAACTTCCCCTTCCGTCTTCCCCGTGGCTTTGCGATTCCCTCGTTCTTGGCGGCCCGTAGGACAACGCACGCACGGGATATGTAAGTACACCCTAGTGTACACCGTAGGAGGCATTGGTTCGGGATAGTGAGCTATCGGTCAAAATTATTATCTTTATGTTCGAAATGGGGATTCGCCAGTCTTCGGCTATAGCCTCTATCGCTCTAGACCTAACATATCTATCCCATCTAGGATATAAATAAATAAAGTACACTCTTTCGATGGGATCGACTCCGGGTTTGTTGCATGCTCGCTCCGATGATCCGTCCGTCCAGCCAATTGGAACCAACGGTGCGCGGTGCATCAAAGGTCAATGCTGATGACCGAGTGGGAATGGAGGCTCCGAATGAATCAAGTTGATTATCCTGAAGCTTGAGAACTGCCGAGAGGGAACGAAACGAGAAACTACGGAATACCCGTCCAAACCTCCTCTACTCCGTAATCCCTCGGCCGATCATGTTCTTGCAGGGCCAGCAAAGCTACGTAAGTTGGGTTTGCCCGACAAAGCAGGTCTGGTCGTCAACGTCACTATCCGCCCTGATGTGGCGAGTGGTGGGCCTCGGGTGGGATCTCCCTCCTACTAGAATACGTGGGCGAAACTCGGGATACATAATCATGACATCGACACCTGGCCAGCCGGGCAGAGAGCGGGTTTATGGGGACTAATAAGATGCGACGAATCGATCAGCTTTGCAAGGAATTTCCGGACCGACTATCTATGGAGGATGCGAGAACGACGGGCGAAAGAAAGTACTCAGTGCTTCAGCAGTTGTACAGTGTACACCGTCGTTGGGCAGTCAGCCAGTCTAGTCAGGAATTCATCCATAGTCTAAAATGTGCTTATTCTTTAGCACTCCTTGATACATTCGTCCGAAACACGGACATTGATATTCTTTTTTTTTAATTTCAAATTAAAATCATAATATAATAAACGTTAAAGATTAACAAGTTAAGAACCCCGGGTCAGCGTCGAGACCCTTCTGCCGGTCGGCACAATTGATCCCGTGGCTCAGGGTAACTAAAGGAGGGGCCAAGCCGACCCGACTATCCGGAGGGTCGAATTTCTCCGTAAATCACATCCCCGAATCGATGACTTGTTCTCCCTGCCGGCTTCGCTAGTGCGGTCCCATCCTGGTTGGAACGCGTGCCAAAAGGATGCGATCAAGGAATCGGTGACCAGGGTATTAGAGTATATCGTACTAAGTATATACACCATATAATTATAAATCAGCCAAGTTAACGATTATACCCGTGTCAAGTTCTACTCCATAAGTACAAACTCCATGGAGAATTTAGCAGACAATTAAAACTAGCCTGGAGTACGGAGTAGGTAAATTAATATTACCATGATATTATGATATTGAGTAGTCTCGTAGGGCCCCCTCGTTTAAAAAAGAAAATATAGTTCTGACATTACTAATGGAGGGCCCAGTTCCCACTCGGGAGGTCATGAGCACGCGCAAAAAAAGAAGAAAAAAGAAAAAAGAAACAAAAAAATGGGTCAGCAAAATAAGATAAAATAAACTAATTGATAACAGTAAAGTTGAAAAGGAGGGACAGAGGGACCCCGAAATCCAGCAGCGACCCTGGAACAACCGGAGAGAGAGGAAGAAGAAGCTAGAACGTTCAAATGATCAAGAAAAAAAAGATCCAGGGGTAAAAAGGGCCGGTCTAGATCGCCGAAGGAAGCGTTAAAAAGGAATAGCAGGAGAAAATTGCACCGTGTCATGTGCTCGATCGACGAGAACCAACGGGCCCGCAGAGCCCCTCTCTTGCGCGTTTTGTCTTCAATCCTACCTTACCTTGGCAGGGATGTGATCTGGTTTATTTAGGATTATTCTTCCCTTCGTTGTTCAGGAGACGGTGGTTGGGCTTCCATAGAGATTCGATTTCCAGATCGACATCGATTCTGCGGGTAGGTATGTCTGGTCGTGGAATGGATCAATGGATCAGGCATGGATGCACATCGCTGTGCATTATCGATTAGGAATTTGGGAGCCCGTTGTTTCCTGAATTTATTTATTGAATTTGCCATTTTGCCTCCTTCACCTCTTGCAAATTCATGTCAAACCAGAGATTAACGAGCCAGATCAAGACTTGGAGGAGGGTCGTAAGAAGGATGAGAGAATTTTCTTTGATTGTTATGACTTCTTTTTTTCCTTTTTAGTGACAATTATATTGTTGATTTACTAGGATTGCTTATCTCAACACCCACGGGAGGGCATCAGTGGTCGACCAGACCGGGTAAAGCTGTTTTCGGGGGGGTTTGTTCTAGGCACCGCGACTAGTTCCGGGTGGAGATGCAGATAGAGAAAACCATGGAATCGACCTACGATGGGTCCGTGATCGATGTCATGTGGCAGTCCAGCACCTACTAAGAATAGTCGCGCTCCTCGAGCTCTTGGCTGCGATGATCGGAAGCCCTGCCGGACATACTCTCCTTTACCACCCTGATGGGTATTTTCAGCGAGAATTCAATGGGTGTGATCAAGGCATTCCTATGCATGACCCTTAAATTCTAATACTATGTCCTTCGTGGGTGAGATTTTAAAAGATGATCGATGATTGACGGCCATAATCACGAATTGTATAGACCAAAAATAACGATCGAGAATAAAAAGTCCATCAATCACCTCAGGAGGTTTCAGCCAAAATATAAAACATGGAGAGAACTAAGCCGGCCAAATAGTTCAGGGTGATAAAGTGACGATAACGGAAAGGGAGACTCCAGATTTTCTGGATTAGCAAGGCTAACCTTCCCAAAAACCCCAAACAAGCAGTCCCCATTCCGCGTAAGGAGGGCAATGAATGTCAGTGCTGACGACGGACAGTGGTCGTCTGATCAGAAAAAAAAAAAGAAAAAAAGGGAAAAGAAGGGCCGAAGAAAGTGGAAATGGAATGAAATCTTCCAATCCGTTTTCCGAGTTCCTCCCCCACGCCCCCACTTCTCCGCCATGGACGAACGGGGAATTCGCCAGGCCATTAGGTCAGCACTCACCTTAGTAAAGGGGACTCTGGACTATTCCTTTGCCTGGCCCTTAGTCGGTTCGTTAGTATGTATGTAGGTACATCCATGCAATCCCCATACCGGACTCTCAGACAGACAGGTACCAAGGGAAAGCTGTCCACTTATGCACATGTAATACCTGGTCTGGGCGGGCCAGATCCACCGAGTTGGATAAAGAGTGTCCCTCGTCCATTCTGGAGAAGAGCGAAGATTCATTTCTTTCTTTCTCGGTTTCCCTCCCTTTTCCTGCCTTGTTGCCTTGCGCCACAGCATTAAATCACTCCTCAGTCAGTGACCTCATCCCCGCCTACTTTCTCTCTTGTTCTGGCGCTCTCCTCTCTTCCTCCCTCTCTCTCTCTTGACTTGACTTCTTTCTTCTTCCTCTCCCACCGCCTTCCTCTCCTCTCTTCGCAGTTTCTTCTGTCCACGGCCTTCCCAACACGCACTCCCGAATCCGGCTACGTCACCCTTCGTCCACTTCTCCGGCTCAGCAAGCATCTTGGCTGCCCAGTATCTTTTCCTCGTTTTTTCCACCCCACCAACCATTTCCGCGTAGTTCAATTCCGTCATCCTTGGACCAATCTTTTCTCTCTTCCCCGCCTCTTCTCTCTTAAGAACTGCGCCCGGGACGTAAATTCTTCCCCCCCCCTCTCTTCTTGTCCTCCCTCCAATCAATCCCCCGGCAATCCCTGTTCTTTGCCACTTTTTATATATATTCTTTTTGTTTTTGCCTCCTTCGTCCTAGGCAAATTCTGGCGAGATCCTTCTCTCTTGCCAGCACCTCCCCTACGAACTCCTAAATTGCCTATACCGACCCCACCGACACAATGAGGAATCCTTTCGATATGTCCGACCTGGACTCGCTCATTGACGAGCAAGAACAGCAGGAGAGCTATGCCGATCTTCACGCTTACTCTTCGCACGACGGCAATCGTTCTCTATTACAGAACGAAAATCGTCGCAATGACAATTTGAAGGATCGCTTTATCGGGGCCATCGACACGGGTACCACCAGTTCCCGTTTTATCATCTTCGACTGCACCGGTGTTCCGGTAGCCAAATACCAGACTGAGTTTCGCCAGATTCATGAATATTCAGGGTATGCTCCGAATCATCTTTATTTTTTCCCTTTGGACCCCTTCTGACCCACGACTCTAGATGGCACGAACAAGATCCCTTCGAGCTGGTGGATTCCGTTTACATCTGTATCGAAGAGGCGATGAAGACCTTCCTTGCCCTGGGCCACTCCACCGACGAAATCGAGGCTATTGGTATCACTAGTCAACGTGAGACTGCTGTGTGTTGGGACTGGGAAACCGGCGAGCCTCTCCATAATGCCATTGCTTGGCCCGATACCCGGACCAAAGGCTTGGTCCGCGAGCTGAAAGCCAAGCCCGGAGCAGACGAGCTCAAGAATATTTGTGGTCTTCCCCTGTCTACCTACCCCTCCTCCGTTACCTTGGTATGGATGCTTGAGCATCTGCCCGAAGTCAAGGCCGCATATGAAGACGGAAGACTCGCTTTTGGTACTGTTGACTCGTGGCTCATCTACAACTTGAACGGCGGCCCCGAGGGTGGCCGCTTGGTCACCGATGTGACCAATGCCTCCCGAACAATGTTCATGAACCTTGAAACGCTTGATTATGACGATCGATTGCTCAACTTCTTCGGGCTTGACAGGAACAAGATCCGTTTACCTCATATCCTCCCGTCTTCAGACCCGGATGGATACGGATATGTTAGCTCGGGCCCTCTAGAAGGCATTCCCATTACTAGCTGTCTTGGTGATCAGTCCTCCGCGTTGGTTGGTCACTGCGCCTTCACGCCAGGAAGCGCCAAGAACACGTACGGCACCGGATGCTTCCTGCTCTACAATGTTGGCGAGAAGCCGGTCATCTCAAAGCATGGTCTCCTGGGCACTGTGGGCTTCCAGCTGGGCAAGCATCGGAAACCCGTCTACGCCTTGGAAGGAAGTGTGGCTGTTGCGGGCAGTGGTGTTTCTTTCCTGATGAACAACATGGGTTTCTTCCGTGACTCGCGCAAAGTCAGTGACCTTGCGGCGTCCGTGCCCGACAGCGGCGGCTGTTTCTTCGTCACAGCGTTCAGTGGCTTGTTCGCACCTTATTGGATCGATGATGCCAAGGGAACTATCTGTAAGTTGAACTCTCGGTTATACAGGAAGGAGAAGATGTTCTCTTTACTAACCATGACAACAGTTGGCATTACCCAATATACACAGCGCGGGCATATCGCCAGAGCCACCATGGAGGCCGCCTGCTACCAGACCAAGGCTATTCTCGATGCTATCGAGGTTGATAGTGGTCACAAATTGACTCAGCTTGCCGTTGACGGTGGAATGAGCAACTCCGACATCTGCATGCAGGTATGTTGCGCATGTGTTACCCTTGATCATTGTAGGGCACGTGCTAACACTTCTTCTCCTTTTAGACTCAAGCCGATATTATCCAAATCCCTGTCGAACGACCCGCTATGCACGAAACCACCGCTTTGGGAGCCGCCATCGCCGCCGGCTTCGCCATCGACGTTTGGAAGGATTTCAATGAACTCAAGAACATGAACCGCGCCAACCGCACAACCTTCGAGCCCCATATCTCCATCAAGAAGAGTGCGAGGATGTACAAACAATGGTCCAAGGCTGTCGAGATGTCTCGCGGCTGGACCGACTCGGGTGATATGGATGGTGAAGACGAAGAGTAGAAATACTCTTTCGACAATCCAAGGAAGGAAAATATACATAAAAGGGAAACACACCGCCTTCCCACTTTCTACTATAATACCTGGATGATTTCTGTGCGATTAAGCGTTGTGCGTTTGTCATGTGTTCATTGGGGTTCATGGGTCTGTCTTGTCATTGTTTTATTTGTTTTTGGCCAATCCGGCGGTGTGGTGTCTTTTCTGAAGATACCCAGTTCTTCATCTCGTCTTCTTTTCGAGCAGGTTTCCTGGTACATATACATATATATACTCTTTTAGCTTTCACATACATATTTAGATCAAATTTATATCATTTTCAAAATCAACAGTTTATCATGTAGCCACAAGTATGTACCTTGGTTTACTTCTCATTTGTTTCAGGAATTGTAACAACACTGACGCCCATCCAACGTCACAACTGACGTCTAACATCAATTAACAACCTGGCCCAAGCGTCACCACCATCCCTGGTAGATCTTTAGGATGGAACCAACTGTCATTCGACCAAACCATTGCCCTAAAATAATATTTATACAAAATAAAAGACAGAGCATCTATAGCCCACGTGATGTTGTACCGCCTCTCGACGCAGCTTCTCTCTTTGTGTGTAGCAAATCCTCTCATCTTTGGTCTGCAAGATACTTAATAACTTCTTATGTCCAGTTCCTGGGCTGAGTCCTTTCAGTCAATTAATTCTCGAATTTTGATCCATGTTATCCCTCACCCTCACCCACAGCCATGCCTGCCGACATACCATTTTTGATAATCAATACATAGTATATGGACCGCCCCTCTGCATCGAGACCATCTTGCACCAGCTACGACTCGACATAAACGAAGGTTGTTTTGGGTTCTACACTCAGTATTCAATTTCGATTGCGACCTATGTATGTATGTACAATACAATACAATACAACCCAAGATAGGTACCTTGCTTTGGTAAAACAGGCAAGTATGGGGAAATGTCAGTTCGGCGCTTGCCGGCGTTCTTCTCACTCCTTAAACTCGCCCTGCTATATGCCAGATGAAAAAACAGATACAGGCCTATTTTTTTTTTTGACTGCAATTGCGGAGTTCGAGGATAAATTTGAAAGCAGAGATATCGAAACAGAAGAAAGGAAAAGAGAAAAGAGGAGACAAGGAAAAAAGAAAAAGCAGAGCATGCAGACGAAAGCGCAACACCGAGTACAATGTAAAGAGCAAAGAGAAAGAGAAACCAGAAGAGGAACAAGATCCCCCAAGGGCTGTAATCAAGGCGTGACAAGTACAATGCCGATCCTCGAGACGCCTAATGGAGGTCAGCCCAAAAGAAAACAACAACCGGGAGCAAAAGAGGATTATGAATAGAGGAGAAATTGAGATATCATCAGAAGAAAGAAAATAAGAAAGTTTGGCCTTATTCGGCAGCTGCCGGGGGTTCTTCATCGGATTTGCTTAGTCGTGTCGCCTGTAGAGCCTCAGGCAGTTTAAGAGGTGGCGGCGACGACGACGGCAGTTCCAACTTCTCGAGTTTCTCTCCCTTCAGGACTTTCTCCATTTCTTCCTTCGTGAGTGTCTCGTATTCAATCAAAGCCTGGGTCAAGAGTTCCAATTCGTTCCGTTTTTCGGTCAGGATGTTCTGGGCGCGCACTTTGGCCTCCTCAACTAAACGCCGGACTTCACTTTCGATCTCCTGCTTGGTCTCGGACGACAACCTGTTGTAGTTCGTGGAGAGATCAACATTTCCGAGCTTCTTGGAGTATCCAAATCGAGTGACCAAGGTGAAAGCCGTCTCAGTGGCTTGTTGAATGTCCTATTTGGAAATTAGGTTAGCAAACAGCGATCGGATACATCTGGGGGAGCGGTAAAGACTTACAGCTGAGATGCCGCTCGTAACCTTATCAGGCCCGAAGATGAGCTCTTCGGCGGCCTTACCACCCATGGAAACGTCAATATCGGACAAGTACTCGGTATAGTTCCGAGAGACCATGTCCATCTCGGGCAGGAAGTGCGTCACACCCAGCGCCATTCCGCGGGGAACGATGGTGATCTTGTACAGCGGTGTAGAGGACGGAGAGAAGTAAGCAACGAGGGCGTGGCCAGCTTCGTGGTAGGCGGTCAGAAGCTTGTCCTTGTCCTGGATGATCCTGCTGCGAGCCTCTGCTCCCATCATAATCTTGTCTTTGGCCCAATCAAAATCCTTGGCGATCACCTTGTTCTGCTTGTTTCTGCTGGCATAGATGGCGGCCTGGTTGACCAGGTTTTCCAAGTCAGCGCCGGAGAACCCGGGAGTGCCACGCGCAATCACTGCGAGATCCACGTCAGTGCTGATCTGCACGTCCTTCATGTGGTGCCTAAGGATATCCATGCGACCCCGGACATCGGGGAGGCCGACGGTCACCTTCCGGTCGAATCGTCCAGGTCGGGTAAGCGCTTTATCCAGCAGTTGCGGGTAGTTGGTCGCAGCAAGAATGATCACTCCGGTAGACTGCGAGAATCCATCAAGTTCGGTGAGTAACTGGTTCAAGGTTTGCTTCACGTATGAGGCATCCCTTTCGTTTCTCTTAGCACCTATCGCGTCCAGCTCATCGATAAAGATGATCGCGGGTGACTTGCCGCGAGCCTGAGCGAACAACTCACGGACACGCTTGGCACCAACGCCCACGTACACCTCGTCGAATTCAGATCCAGACATGTAGAAGAAGGGGACACCAGCTTCACCCGCAACGGCACGGGCAAGAAGGGTCTTTCCAGTACCGGGAGGCCCAACAAGCAAAACACCTTTAGGCAGCTTGCCACCGAGCGAAGAAAAGCGATCCGGGTTCAGCAAGAACTCAACGAGCTCCTGAAGCTCATCTTTGGCTTCATCGCAGCCATGCACATCACTGAAGCGAACAGTCTGATGCTGCGGTTGGGCCTCGTTGGTCTGAGAGCCCCGGATGTTCTTCAGAACGCCCGTGGTTTCCACCAAGACAGTAACAAGCACAAGGGACATGTAGACGAAAAACGCGAAGGACACCAAGAATTTGGCCCATCGGAATATGGTGCTTCCAAGCGACTCTTCCACAACAACATACAAAGGAGCTTCTTTCGCGCCAGTGCCGGTTTGCTTCGTTGCCAATCCCACTTGACCACCATGTTTCTGAGCCGCAACTGCCTGGCCAATGGCCTGGAGTTGTTCCATGTTTACGTTCTGATTTGAACCGGGAGCCATTGGTGCGGGACTAGTACCTCCAACAAGGTTCAAGGCCTTGAAATATATCGCTTCCGAAAGTTCGTTGCTGGCGAAATGACCGCTCCTGTACCGCTCGACCACAATCGCCGGCATGTTGGCGCGAAGGAGGTCCTGATAGAAGGAGTTCTGGGCATTGACGTTGTGTGGATTATTGTTCGCGGTTTTCTCCTTCTGTGCTAAAATACCGTGAGAGGGACCGCCGAAGAGAAACCGTTGTTGCTGAAGATTGGCAAGACCGAGAGGACGGGAAACGTGGGGAAGTCGGTTCAAAGACGTGGAGTAGGAACGAAAAGACGACGGAGAGAAGACACGAGAGGCAAGGGAGGGCGAGGACCAGAGCGAGCGTTCTTTTTTAAGAGTCATGAGTCAGTATACATGTTCCCCTCGACATCCCGGATTGTAATTACCATTGAACAAGGAACGGGACCATCCCGATGACGCAGGCTGGCGTACGGCGTCCGCTCTCAAAGCTGTTGAGGGTACCGTGTGCAGGAACTCCGGCAGTACGACAGACCCGGCATTCTAAGCAGATGGTTAGCATCTCGATGAGATATTTCCCATCCACGCATGACACAAAACATACTGTTGAACTCGCTTCACCAAGCGTGCGCTGGGAAGTGGTAGAACCGGGAGAAGGGCCGCGCTCGACATTCTTCCAAGGCGCATTTAGGAGCTTCGACATGGAAGGCCAGATATCGGATGTCACCGCCGCGATATTCTACACGGGATCATAAGGGTTAGAAAGATCGAACGCGCCAGAACATAGACCGAGGGTCCTTACGGGCTTGGGGATCGGAACTTGAAAGGCCATGGTTGACCGACGTAAGGCGGCACTTGGCCGCAACAACAGGAAGTTCTATCCCTAGATAAGTTATGCGAAAGTTGGGATCGAGGAAACGTGGAATTAATCCTCAAGGAAAGAAAATGCCATCACTGAATGATAGCGATCAGGGTGCGGAGTGAAGTGAGAAGATGGGGGTGCCTCGGCGGGAATCAATAATGCGGCGGCGAATTCATTGGCGGCGGACTTGCCACTATGGCTCTTCCGCCCCGCCGGAGGTACAGGTCACGTGTGTATGTGCCCCAGGCAGCAGCCGTCCATGTGCTTCCATCGACATCTTCCATCGCCAAAGCTTTCCATTATCTGTAAGCCATTCCACTAGTGATGAATTCCGACAGTATCTCATCTCTGTGAGACCGCAGGGGCAGCAGGAACTGCCTTGATCATACCGGCGATGATTATCTACGTATTACACAATACAATGGAAAGGCAGGCTCGGCAACCCGTGGTTCGATTCGGCCACCGATGACAAGGTCATCATTGACAAAAAAGAAACCTTCCCTTTTCCTGCAAGACATATCCCCTGCCACACATGCCGTGATACACCGAGATATACCTCTACACTAAGTGTTCAACACTCTATATATATACTATTTTGCGCAAACCTTGCAGATCTTGTCATTAGACGGTTGGGACAGCCGGCGCGGTTGGAGAAGGAAGCGGGTCTTCTTTCACTTATAGCAAGAGCGCAGCTACCTATTCGACTCTCGTCCTGGACCTTGTTGTGGTAGGTTCAGCACGTTTGGCCTCGGGCATACTTCATGGCTTCTGTCGTTCGAGCCCTAGTCCGAGATGTCCCGAAAGGTCATTCTTCTCATGGGAGCTCCCACCGTACGGAGTCTTCAATGGGATGAAAATGAGCTACTCAATGCACCTATATACCCATTCGACGGCTCGGGTGGTGACGACGAAGGAGCCGGATCATTTGCAGAAAACTACCCTGTGAAATGGAGACTGCTGCGGAACTCGGCTTTGCCAGAGACACAACCTGATCAGAACGAAACCAATCCTGCGGGAGGCGCACGGTTCTTCACCATCGACGAGCTGGTTACTCCTGGCGGAATATCTACAACGGACGATTCACTCTCCAAATTCTACAACCACTCTTTTGCCATACATGAGACTTCAGAGATAACTGTGCCTGGCACCTCCGGGGACGACTCGGCAAAAGAGAGCGGCTTATGGGCGGATAGCACGAACACTTCGATCGCCCTTAGCTGGGAAGAAGAAACCGCCCAGCCCGGTCTCTCAATCTCAATCCCCGGGCATATCACAGATCTGCGGGACATTCCTAGCGCCGCATACCTCAATGCCATCGTGCCTCAGACGATGACGGTGAATCTGATCGTGGGCATCATTACCATTCGGCCGCCGCGGCGCATCGTGACACGACAATGGAAACGAGAGCTGGACCTGATCGAGGTCGTGGTGGGCGATAACACGCGCAGCGGGTTCGGGGTTACATTCTGGCTCCCTCGCACGAGTCGAGGCGGCGACGACGAGAGCGAACTGGGGCGGAGCCTGGCGACACTGCGACCACGGGACATCGTTCTCTTGCGCACGGTGGGACTGAGTTCATTCCGGGAACGGGTGTACGGGCAGAGTCTGAAGAATGGAATCACGCGGGTGGATTTGCTGCACCGCCAGCGGGTCGACGTAACGGACGCGGGGAGAGTGTACAGCGGCAGGAAGCTGCGCGATGTTCAGCAGGAAGATCAGCCGCTGGCGAAGGTGAGCAACGTCCGGCAGTGGATCCGCCAGTTTGTGGACCCGGCCCCGGAAGCAGCAGGCGGTGGCACCAGGGGGCCAAAACAACGTGGGCCCATGGAGTTTCCGGCGAAAAATCCTCGTCCACCGATTCTGCCTCCAGATACGCCCGAGCAGTGAAGTGAATGGGTCTTATAAATAGAAACCCCGACAGGACGACGCGGCCTGAGGGACCCGAAGAAGAGACATTGGCTCTCAGCCACCTTGAAAACGGACTGTATGTATATACTTGTACTTGTAGGTAGGGGACATGCCGGGTCATATGATTAACGCCGTCTGGAGGAGTAGGGCGTACATACTCCGTACTCCGTCAAGATGTAACCTTGTTCTTTGTTCCATTTGCAGCAAAAAGGGGGTGGGAAATTACAGGAAGAAAGCTTGCCTGAGGCATGGGGGGCAATAATGAAACCGGGCCGACTAGTATGGAGCACCTGACCGGATGTTGCCTGGCTGCCTGGTTTTTGGTACCGTATCGTTACCGTCTTCCCCTTTCCCAGTTGTTCCCCAATCGCCGCAAACGGACGGTACGGCGGTACAGTCTGGTACACTCCAATACATCCAACGCCAGGTGTTCTTCTATTGTTCATTTCTGGTTCCTCTTTTATTCCGCTCCTCCTCCTCTTCCTCCTTCTCCTCCTCTCCTTTTCCTCCCTGAGAGCTTCCGATCTTTCAATCTGACCATCTCCCGATCGATTGATTGATTGTTTCCCCCTTCCCTCTGTCAACGTCTAATCAATCGCTTTTTACCTTTATCCAAGTCCTTCCTTTTACTTCTCCTTTTATACCCCCTCTCCTAAATCCACTCACTCTCGTTCATCCCACCCTCAATATGAAGGGTACGTGCTCCCCGTTGGACTCGACTAGTCCCCCCTCCGATTTGCTTTCTTTCTTTTGACTCACGTTTCTTTAGCTCTTATTCTTGTCGGAGGTTTCGGTACCCGGTTGCGTCCTTTGGTAAGCCAATGCTGCCCCCCCTCATCGCTCCCCCGCCGCCGCCGCCGACGATCGTGACGTCGGAGCATACCAGCCGCTTCTCGAAAGAATTTCTGCTAATCTATGCGACCGCTGTCATAGACGTTGACGCTCCCCAAGCCTCTGGTGGAATTTGGCAACCGTCCCATGATCTTGCACCAGGTCGAGAGCTTGGCTGCTGCTGGTGTCACCGATATTGTTCTGGCCGTCAACTACCGCCCCGATGTGATGGTCTCTGCTTTGAAAAAGGTACGCGCAGGATTCTCGTGAATCGAACGATCCGGATTGCTCATGGTTGCGCTAGTACGAGGAACAATACAACGTCCGCATCGAGTTCTCCGTCGAATCCGAGCCGCTGGGTACGGCCGGTCCCCTGAAGTTGGCGGAGAAGATCTTGGGCAAGGACGACTCCCCCTTCTTCGTCCTGAACTCCGATGTCATTTGCGATTACCCATTCAAGGAGCTGGCCGAGTTCCACAAGAACCACGGCGACGAAGGTACCATTGTCGTGACCAAGGTTGACGAGCCCTCGAAATACGGTGTCGTCGTCCACAAGCCCAACCATGCGTCGCGCATCGACCGTTTCGTCGAAAAGCCCGTCGAGTTCGTCGGCAACCGTATCAATGCCGGTATCTATATTCTCAACCCCAGCGTGCTGAACCGCATTGAGCTGCGTCCCACCTCGATCGAACAGGAGACGTTCCCCGCCATTTGCAAGGAGGGTCAGCTCCACTCGTTTGATCTGGAAGGGTTCTGGATGGACGTCGGTCAGCCCAAGGATTTCCTCAGCGGTACCTGCCTGTACCTCACCTCGCTCGCGAAGCGCAACTCCAAACTGCTCGCCCCCAACAACGAGCCCTACGTGTATGGCGGAAACGTCATGGTCGACCCCAGCGCAAAGATTGGCAAGAACTGCCGCATTGGCCCCAACGTCGTCATCGGCCCTAACGTCGTTGTCGGCGACGGAGTTCGTCTGCAACGATGCGTCCTGTTGGAGAACAGCAAGGTCAAGGACCACGCGTGGGTGAAGTCCACCATTGTCGGATGGAACAGCTCGGTGGGCAAGTGGGCTCGCCTGGAGAATGTTACCGTTCTGGGTGACGACGTGACCATTGCCGACGAGGTCTACGTGAACGGCGGTTCTATCTTGCCGCACAAGAGCATCAAGCAGAACGTTGATGGTGAGTTTTTTTTCCTGGCTCTGTTCACTCAACCATTAGTCTTCGATACTAACAAATGCTGCGCTAGTTCCTGCGATCATCATGTAATACCCCGTTCTCTTTCCCTTTCCTTTACGTCGACATGTCCTCGAATATCTTGATTTGAATCACCTTTACCTCGAAATCGCCCAGATGCATAGAGCCGGAGTCGTTTTATCTTTTGTGTTTGCCTTGATGCAGTTGATTCGAGCAGTCTTGAGCTTGCCCGGTTTATCGGTCAAGAGCATGACGTCCTTTATTTCCCCCGTTCCCCCTCTCGAAACACGCCTACCTACCTACCTACCTACCTACCTACCTTTCCGCCTCTTTCTTGCATAAAACCCCCTTTAGTCTCATATACGGGCCTGTCGTCATCTCCGCACTCAGAACCTTGACGGTGTGACGTGCGTCCGATGCGACGGTTTCCAAATTTAGTAATATTTTTTCCATTTTGATTCACCATCTCGTCTCATCTTTTTCTTCCTTCTCCCAATCTTTTTCCCTTTTTGCTTTCTTCTTGCTCGTCGCGGTATCTTTTCTATTCATTACTCTGCGTCTGCTTACCCGGGGATTGGTGAGTAAATGGGTTCTAATACACTATCCAATTTTAATGATGTATGTGGGACAAACGGGTTTCTTTGTTTAAGGAATGTAAATATGGGAGGCAGAACTCAGAAATGAATTTATATAAGAATTAAGAAAAGAGAATTATGTTTGTGTCTTGGATCATATTGCCCTCTCTCTCTCTCTCTCTTTCGAACTCTTAGTTTGGCTTTATTTTCGTGAAGACATGTTCCCAGTCGAATTAAAATTGTATTGTATGGTGTAGAATAACGGTCTATGTGACAAGAACAGGATTAAGTATAGATATACACATAGAAGAAAGAAAGATTAAAATCCATCTAGAGACAGATATCCCCGAAAGAACGAAAGAAAAATCCTAGGATGTCCAAGATAGAGAAAAGAAAACGATCTTTCCTGTCTTACCTTAGGACTCGACCTTCTCGGCCTCATCCAAAATACCATCCCAGTGGATCCGCAACTCCTCCATCTGCTGCCAGCACGACCGTCCCAGCTCCTCGAAGTGCTCTTTTTGTTCCCGGGTGAGGTTTGTCGCGCCGCGCTTGCGTCGACGCTGGCGATCGTCCTCGACCACAGCGCGTCCCACGACGCCGCCGTATCCCCATCCGTCGACCTCGGTCGGGACGGAGGACGCGGGTCCCCAGAGGCCGCAGGACGAGCCCCATTTGACGCGTCCGCCGCCGTGTCGTCGGTATGTGGATTCCGCGTCGTCGAGGGCCGATTGCGGGGCCAGGGCTAGCCAGACGGGAGAGCAGGCGCCCATGTACGTGGACAGAGTGTGCCAGGGAGAGCCGAGAAGACGGGCGAGCCAGAAGGCAGCGAGCATGAGGTAGAAGAGCGGGAGCGCGAGAGGGACGATGGCGGTGCCGCAGATGCCGGGGTGGGAGACGTAGGTGGTTGGCGAGGGAGCATCGGAGGAGGATTCGGGGGAGTTCTTCTTGTCCGCGGCGGTGCGGTCGTCGTCGGTCGAGTGGAAGCTGCGGACCCAAGGGGCGACGCTGGGGAGGTCGGACGTTAGGGCGAGGATGTCGGTCAGGGCCTTGGAGGATTCGTAGGGGGTGGTGGTGCGGAGGCCCTGGAGGTCGTCGGGGTTGAACAATTTCACCGTGGCTTCAATGCTCGAGACCCAGATGATGCGACCGGAGTGGCCGGGGCGTCGCAGCAGAGGCATGACGTTGTGAGCGAGCATGTAGTGGCCGAAGACGTTGGCGCAGAACACGTTGCCCAAGCGAGGCTCTTGGTCGGCGCGCGGGGTCTGAGGATCGGTCACGACGCCGGCCGACGCAAGCTTGTATGCCGGCCAGGTGGCGGCGTGGACCAGGTCGGTGCAGATCCCCCAGACGGCTTGCGGCCAGTTCAGGCCCGTCCAGCCCCCTATGCCGGCGTTCAGCAGGATGGCATCGAGCTTGGGGAAGGATTGGGTCAGTCGGCGGGAGAGAGCTCGCACGGAGACGAGATTGGACAGGTCGACATTCTCGGGGATGAAAGTCACTCGGACGGAGGCGGAGGCATTGGCGGAGGTGCGCAGGTAATCTTGTAGAAGGCGGAGAGTGTCATTCCCCTTCTTGGTACTCCGGGTTGTGAAGATGACGGTCAATGACCCGTGAGTGGTAGAGCTCAGGAACTCATCCACTGCTCGACAGCAGATAGAGAAACCGAGGCCACTACAGTGCGCGCGAAGAACCGAGCGGTAAGCCAGACGAAAGGTAAGAAGGGCATCGGGGGCTGATCAGAGACGGAGACTGTACCTGTTTGCACCAGTGACCAGGATGAAGGTCTGGTCCGTCATGGCGATGGATTGAGTGCGGACGAGGTCCATCGAAGGCAGAGAAGCAAATCGACGCCGCGGGTGAAGGAATTCAGGGCGGCGAGCTGATTGGCCCGTCGCCCGAGTGGGGCCACCGAAGGAGCCGTGGATGCCTCAGGAAGGAAGCCATGTGACAAGTGACGACCCCAAATCGGAAATCTGTTTGGATGAAGTATGGAGTATAAAGGATGTCCGTCAAGATACTCGTTTAAAATGCTCTTCAAGTAGCTTTTCTCCGTCGGAATTAATGCGAGATACCCCTTTTCATACATTCAGCCTTGGCCAAGCAAACCGTTTCCCCTTCCTGGCCTCCTGACTCAATACGAGGTCAAACGTGGCCAGTCTACCTACTCAACAGTCCGGCTTGGTGAAGCTGACGGCACTGGCCATGCCGACCGCCTAGAGCTTCCTAAGAACCTAACACTCCTGAGATATCCCCCCAGTCGGCGGCGCGTTGGCAATTTGTAAGGTGCGTCCAGCCCGGCGCCTAAGGAATCAACCCCGCAAAAAGCGAGTCTCCACTAGCGCCTTGTTAGCCACATGGGGAAACAGACCTTGGCCCCCTTGATACGGAGTACGGAGTGATAGTTTGTTGATGGCATGGGCGAATTTACGGGGTAGGTAGATCGAAACGTAGACCAGGATGAATGGCTCGTATCCCCTCGGCCTAGCCAAGCCAGCGCCAACCATGTGGGAGGGGAAAGTTATCTGGGACTGGACATGAATGAGTTGGTGGGCGCTTTCCCATGCAGCGGAGGATGTTGGGAAAGCCGGATAGTGAGGCTCGCTTAGAAGATGAGCAATCATCTGTCGATGATAATCCTGGCTATCGACCTTGAGAATAAAAGGCGGCCCCGGTGATCACACATCATGGATTCAATCTCCGGTCAGGGATTTGACTACGTCATGAGGACCCCTCGTGAACGAAGTTTCGATCGCGTAATGTACGCAGGTCCCTGGTTTAGTCAATAATTCAACGCTTCCTGGATGGCGAGAGAAGGAGAGAAGAAGCGGCGTCGTATGCATGTATCTACACAGTGAGGTGCGCGTCAGCTGGAAATGGTGCTGGTATGCAATTTCTGCCCCGAATCATACGATAGGATGGTCAAAGTTAAAAATCGACGTCAATCAGAGTGGCGTTGTCCATGCACGGATTATGAATCACTCGTCGGTTTGACACAAAGAGTAGAAGGGGCTTCCCAGCCTTTTCCATACATCCACCACGAGGTAGGTAGCAAGCCGTAACTGGAGTCCCAATGGCAGAGGCTTCCAGCCAGCCCATCGAGGGCAGACGAGAGCTTTTCCAGCAGAAAATTCGGGCGACTCGCCTTGGAAGACGCCCGTCTATCAGCGTCAACACGACCAGTGAGAAAGATTAGGAATCCTCCACGACCAAGGGCCAAGACCGAACCAAGTAACCTCTGGCAATGTATTTGGATCTCTCTGATGGCTGACTGGATCGGCAGTGAAACACGGCCTGTAGAGGAGCCCGAAAAAGGGCCAAAAAGGAACATCTGGTCCAGTCCGTTCTGTATGCATTGACATCGATTGACGCCTCTTCCGAGTTATCTCCATAATTGTCAGCATGGAAGGAGGCGAGCGGCGTTGTGAATTGAAAGGCAAAAATAAGGCGACACAGCCACCCCGAAGGATTTCATGTCAGCATCTCAAAACCCTATCAAGACCGGTTGACTATTTGCCATTTGGGTTATATGAGATGCTGCTCTCAATCAAATCTGGTGCTCTTTGCCATAGAAAAGCAGCCACCAACAACGGGCAGGCCTTTCTTCTATTATTATCTTGGCGCGAATACCAAGAGGGAAAATGATCCAAATCAAATCCCAAGGAGATAACCGAGTAATCTAGACTCTGGATTGGATCGATGACTCCACTCGACACATCGACTCTCTCGTACGGAGCCTCATTGCCATTCTTTGGTAGTCGTAATTGTTTTTCCCTTTCATTTTTCCTAACAATTCCTGCGACATCCGCGAAAGGGCGAAAAACAGGCGTGATCTTCCTTCCCAAGTAAAAAAAGGAAGTAATAAATGGAAGTAAACGAGAACAATGTAAGATAATCAGGAATACGAGAGACAACTTTAATAAAATAATATGAAAAAAACAAGGCAACACTATGCGTTGAATGCATACTACTGTGGGAGAGCAGATATTCCCGCACTAAACAATTGTCATCGCGGAGAAGTAAATGGCTTCATACAAAGATGCTCACCGACACTTGGGGAACCGGTGGGAATTGACCTGAAACCCAGTGGCTAGGGAATAGACTAAACCGTTGTAATCGAGCCGTACCAGCCGAATCATGTACACAGTAGACCGGACTGATCTTGCTTTTTACCATCCTTAGAGAGGTGGCTTTTTCGACGAAGCGCTTGGCTACCTGAACAGCCCATTCAATTCATGTGTTCTTTTCAGCCCTCATGCATCACTTTTCGCCTGATTCGACCGGGAATCTAATTAATTCCCCTCCTTCACAGCTCCGAGCCGAGCCGTTTGGGCGACTCCTAGATTGTGTCATGGGTCGAGGGCCGACAGGGGGCAAAAAGAAATGAAGAAAAACAAAAAAAAGTTGGTTTTGGTGCATGCGAAACCTGCAAATCGGAGATTTCTCTCTGTGCTGGCCACCTATCGAGCGGCGCATCGAGCGCATGTATGTCTAGCATCATCCGCAAAGAAACGACGCCCTCCATTGCTTAGTTTCATAATTCGCCTCGGTTCTATGCACGATGAAGGGCCAATCGTCGGTTCTTCCGAGCGGAGAAGCCTATGAATATGATCATTGGCGATACCGCGGCAAAGTAAATTGTCTTCTCCACGTCCAACATCGACGGATCATGGAGCACGGATGGAAACATGTCATCGACCAGCGATGTGCACACTCGATCGAAAGATTAGTTTACTTCGGCGGCCCACGGGAGACGCTGCGAGTCATCTGTATGCCCAATAACAGGAGCAAGAGCGATGAGAATTAGTCCTAGGCTGCATTGGATCTCACGCAGGAGCAGATTTAGTCCGATAATGGCTGCTGCGGCAATCAATCTTCCCCCTTCCGTCCAGTCCTTTGCTGCGTGCAGTAGGAACAAGGAAAGGAAAAACAAGAATCGGCCCCCCTTATTTTTCCACCCCTCCCAAGAACGCGGGGCTCTGAAGTAGTGTCGCTTGCAACACTATTTCGTGGAAGATACTCGGCTACACCCTAGCACAGGTCAATAATGATAAGGGCCGAAATAGTGATAGGGAAAAAAACGCAAAAACCAAATAAGGACAGGTAGGTT